ATCTTGTTCTTGGTTGATTAAAGACTATATATGATTAAAATAGATAAATAGAGGAGAGAGTTTTAGAATTTAAGAAAAGAAGAGAGCATTTAGGGTTTTGATTTGAGAAAATATTGGAGTAAAGCTTTTGACCCTAGGAGCCTTGATAATCACATTTTATTACAATTTTATACCCTCATTATCTATTTTATATGAATAAATATACCACTAATAATTGTTTTTATCTTTTAATTGCAGGTTAATGAAGAATAAATCTCAACTTCCCATCTCTCAACAAAAACCCATTGATTAAATAAAAAATTAATTAAGATAAAGGCCGGACATTGTTATTTTATTTTCGTTTGATTTGCTGCAGGATGGGCCGGACTCAAAAGCAAAATTAAAAAAAAAATGAAATTTGCTGCATGAAGACCGGATTTGATCAAACTAAAATCAATTGGAGCTCTCATATGGGCCGGACTTATTTTGAAAATCAATTGGAGCTCTCATGAATTGCTATGGGCCGGATTTTCAATTTCTTTTTGAAAATAAAATGAAGATTGGGCTAAAGAAATACAAAAAGCAAATCGATACCTGCATCGATGCCTGTATCGATGCCAGATTACTGTAGCGCGCGTCAATGGCTGATTTTGCTTGTCTTGGGGCTCAAGTTTGATCCAATGGCTCTCATTCACTGATGTTTACTATAAATAGGGGTAGAGAGTGAGGGGTTAGAGGTGTGAAAATTTTGTAAACTCCTTTTGGAGAGGAGGGCTACTCTTAATTGAGAAGGCCTTCCAAAATTGTAACTTTAGTTGCAATTAATAATAATAATTTTTTCACCACTTTAAATATTTCTTCTCTTTGTTGGATGATGAAGATGGAGATGAAGAATTATTTAGAGGTTTGCATTTTCTTTCCTTTTTCTCTTTTATTTCTCTTTTATTGCTTATTAGTGTAGATTTATTTCTATGCTTGTAGTTTAGATTTTATTTTCTTGTTAAATAGCCAAGAGGCTAGAACCCTCTTGCCTTAGATTTATTTCATGCTTATAGAATAGATTTATTTTCTTGCATTTAATTCTTGCAATTTTATTTTGTAGTTTAGATTTTGCAATTTATTTTGTAGTTAGATTTTAATTTCTTATACTATTCACCTTGAGGCTAGAACCCTCTTGGGTTTAGTTTTTCTTTTTGTTTATTTTTATTTTGTTTGATTCGCCTTTAGGCTAGAACCCTCTAGGGAATCACCCTTTTCTAAGAAGTGAGTTCAATTTTAGATTATCCATATCTATAATTGAATCCACCATCTTTAATTTCTTGCATTTTCTTTTATTCTTGAATTTTATTCTTCATTCTTGATTTTTTTTATTTTATTCATTTTTCCTTCTCACCTTATTGATCATACTCAAATCCACTCTCACTTACACTTTTCACTTATTCACACACCAATTTCATTCTCTCAATCTCTTCACAATCACATTCACTTATCACTCCTACTTGTCACGCACACAACATAAGAACCGATTTCATATTTTCTCCTACAAAACACCTTCCTCGTGGGATCAATATCTTAAATACTATAACTTGACACGGTTGTGCACTTACAACCTTTTTGGTACATGTTTATGCCGCATCACTTGCTGTTCTTCCCTATACATGAAGGAACTCGTAAAAGAACGAAGTTGGGTTTTTTAATTGTTCCTCCGATGATCAAGTCAGTATTAAGGCTTGAGTGGAGAAGTAATATGGTTAGCGCTTAGTTATGTAAAAAAAGGTCAAAGAGAGTTACTTCATGCATAGGTTTGAGGGGCAAGAAGGTAACTTGGGCCAAGTCCAGCTAGGCAGCTGAGTCGGCAAACATGTGTTATGTGTTAGTTGCTGAATGAGGTGAGTCACATGGTCATTTATTAGGGAATGACAACTGGTGCTTAGTGATGACTGGGTCTGATGAGTCATAAAGACTATGAGGGCTAGAGTAATGATGATGTTGTCAGGGCAGTTAATGCGAGAGTAGTCGGTTGGCGAGGGGTTCGAGGTAACTATCATCTTTCGACTCCTCGGATTCAGGATGGAGAAGTACCGTCTTTTGACTCGGTTACAGAAGATGTTGGCTGATCAGTAGGCCGAGTCGTATCACTGGTGGTCAATTGAGAGGTTGATCGAGTAGTACCACCTTTTGACTCGATCGGTTACGCGAGATGTTGGCCAATCAAGTCGGTTGTGCCGAGTCGAATGTTATCGTGGTTATGAATTAGTTTGGTTAGATAGAATGCAAGACATGTATCGATTTCTTTGTGAAGATTAATATCTAGCATTTTTAAGGATTATAACAACAATAAAATTTTAGAAATTTTATTCCTCTCTTCTAAGAACGCCTCAAGTTTTCTTGTTAGTTTAAGGATTTTATTGATAAAAAAAGAAAGATGGGTCTTCTTGAAAAAGAGGGGTAGAGCTTAGGGTCTTAGCTGTCAAAAAAATAAAAAAATAAACAAAATTGAGGACTTCTTAGAAGAGGGGTAAAACCTAGATGCTTCTTTGTTAGAAATACAAAGTTCTGGACTTGTTAGAAAAGAGGAAGTAGAACTTACATGATCCAACCTTAGATATTTTAGAAAAGGGAAAAATGCTTCCAGCCCCCAAAAGCCAAGTGAACGTGCTTCCCACCCCAAGACTTGATCAATGAGTGTTTTACCCCTAAAAATAAAGATTTTGTTCTCTGAGCCCCCAAAACACAAAACCCAAGACATTAAAACATGTGAAGACCATAATACCCTTCTCTCTCTTTCTTTTTTTATTAAAATATGATGGAGATTATTTTATTATTTCTCTCTCTCTCTCTCTCTCTCTCTCTCTCTCTCTCTCTCTCTCTTTATCATGATGTATCAAGAGGATAGTTGAAATGATTGACGAGGATTATTTTATTATTTTCGTTTTTTATTATTTTGGTTGTTTGTATTGGGAGGTTGTTAAAGTTACGGGTTGATTGTTAAGGTTACGGGTTGGTTGTTAAGGTTAAGGGTTTGTTGTTAAGGTTATGAATCATCTCTCTCTCTCTTTCTTTTTTTATTAAAATATGATGGGGATTATTTTATTATTTTTGTTTTCTCTCTCTCTTTATCATGATGTACCAAGAGGATAGTTGAAATGATTGATGATGATTATTTTATTATTTTCGTTTTTTATTATTTTGGTTGTTTGTATTGGGAGGTTGTTAAAGTTACGGGTTGATTGTTAAGGTTACGGGTTGGTTGTTAAGGTTAAGGGTTTGTTGTTAAGGTTGTGGATTTGTTGTTAAGGTTGTGGATTTGATTGTTAAGGTTACGGGTTGGTTGTTAAGGTTAAGGGTTTGTTGTTAAGGTTGTGAATCCTCTCTCTCTCTTTCTTTTTTTATTAAAATATGATGGGGATTATTTTATTATTTTTGTTTTCTCTCTCTCTTTATCATGATGTACCAAGAGGATAGTTGAAATGATTGATGAGGATTATTTTATTATTTTCGTTTTTTATTATTTTGGTTGTTTGTATTGGGAGGTTGTTAAGGTTATGCATTGATTGTTAAGGTTACGGGTTGGTTGTTAAGGTTAAGGGTTTGTTGTTAAGGTTATGGGTTTGTTGTGTAGGTTACAGATTTGTTGTTAAGGTTACGAGTTTAATTGTTAAGGTTACGTGTTTAATTGTTAAGGTTACGTGTTTAATTGTTAAGGTTAATAAAAAACAAAAAATAATAAAATAATCATCATCAATCATTTTAACTATCCTCTTGGTACATCATGATAAAGAGAGAGAGAAAACAAAAATAATAAAATAATCTCCATCATATTTTAATAAAAAAGAAAGAGAGAGAGAGAGAGAGGATTCATAACCTTAACAACAAACCCTTAACCTTAACAACCAACCCGTAACCTTAACAATCAACCCATAACTTTAACAACCTCCCAATACAAACAACCGAAATAATAAAAAACGAAAATCATAAAATAATCATCATCAATCATTTCAACTATCCTCTTGGTACATCATGATAAAGAGAGAGAGAAAACAAAAATAATAAAATAATCCCCATCATATTTTAATAAAAAAAGAAAGAGAGAGAGAGAGGATTCATAACCTTAACAAAAACCCTTAACCTTAATAACCAACCTGTAACCTTAACAATCAACCCGTAACTTTAACAACCTCCCAATACAAACAACCAAAATAATAAAAAACAAAAATAATAAAAATAATCATCATTAATCATTTCAACTATCCTCTTGGTTATCATGATAAAGAGAGAGAAAAAATAAAAATAATAAAATAATCCCCATCATATTTTAATAAAAAAAAGAAAGAGAGAGAGAAGGGTATTATGGTCTTCACATGTTTTAATGTCTTGGGTTTTGTGTTTTAGGGGCTCAGAGAACAGATTCTTTATTTTTATGGGTAAAACGTCCATTGACCAAGTCCTAGGGGTGGGAAGCATGTTCAATTGGCTTTTGGGGGCTGGAAGCATTTTTCCCTTTAGAAAATTAAATTATCGTGAATACTCTTCAACAAAGTCCAACACGAGGCTTTATAGCACTCTAGGAAATTAAACTTTAGGGGCTTTAGTTTGGATTTGGAATTTTTGGGACGGACTCATTTAAATTAGAGTTCAATCCGACACATCAATACATGTTCCCGTCCGGGACCTCAGCTCAATCCAACCCTAGTAAATATTAGGAGCCACTATTGATGAGTAGAAAATCCCAATCCGTATGATGGATTGAGATCTTCTACTCATCAATATAGGCTTCTAATATTTGCTAACGCATCTCCACCTTTTATTTTGTGGATAAGCACAAAATGAAAGATGGTCCTATAAAATGAAAGGTGAAGATGTATTAGTAAATATTAGGAGTCACTATTGATGAGTAGAAGATCCCAATCCCAGTATGATACCTAAACTCTGACAGGAGCAAGCAGGAACTGGATTAGTGTGGAAACTCCATGAAAGCGGTAGAAGGCTCTGCTTTGCCCTCCAACCCTCCACGTGTCAAACATCAGTCAGAATCGGTCCAGAACGTTCCGTCCTCTTCACAGCTCTTTCTCGATCCCTCCCTTGTTTCCTACTCAATTACCTTGCTTGTATAAATCTCCCCTCCGATCCCCATTCACCTTACATCCTCGAAAAAACAACAAAGCGGCGAAGTTGAACCAATCAAAACAACAAACTCTTTATTTTTGTCTTAGTAGCAGTCAAAATGGCCCTCAGCGTCGCTGCTCGCCCTTTGTGCTCTCCCTGCTCCTCTCTCCTCCTGAAGCAGAGTGTGAGGTCTCCCAGGCACGTAATTCCCTTCCTCTCGTCGCCAGGACGTAGGATGTCGCCGAGGCGATTAGTTCAAGCGGCAGCGGGGTCCGAGAACAAAGACTCGTCGTCGCTGGAGGTCCAGCGCGGGGACAGCGGCAGAACCATGGAGCGCAGGCCTCGTCGATCCTCCCTTGACGTCTCGCCTTTCGGTAAGCGTTTGGTCAAAAGCACCGTTTTCCTTTTTGGAGCTCACTATGTTTGTTCGCTACTTTTTGCCTTCGGATTGTTCCTGCCTTCAAAATTGGCGATGTTGCAAGTTTTGAGTTTGTTTGATGTCGATAACAGCTGAGATTTGTCAAATTTTTTTTTAAAATTTTTATGTGAATTTTTTTTTTTTTTCGTCTTAGGTGAATGCTGGTTAGTTAAGATTATATTTGTAAGTTATGTTCGAATTATGCGTTTGTGCGCTTCCCTGGTCTAGATGTTTGGACGACTCTAGGGGTGTTTTTGGCATTTCCTTAATGCAGTGAGGGTTCTGATCAAATTTTGCTTGTTTTGTGATCGGGCTCGACGAATTTTTTTCAAGTATTTTTTTTATAGTAAAAAAGTCGCCCTCAAAACTGGTTTTTCAGTTGTCACACGCAACCAATTTAGAGCAATTAAACGCAGCCAGGGTTAATCGTAGTCAGTTTTATAAGATTTGCCACGTTGTCCCTTGGTTTCCATCTGGGAGGGGAAAAGTCTGTGTAATTCATATTAGGAACATTTACATTTGCATGTCTTTTGGTATGTGAATAGCCAAATGTAATTTTTTTTTAAAAAAAAACATGGACTCGGCTAGTCGATTAGATTCCTCAATTTCTTTCAATTTGCAGGGCTAATTGACCCACTATCACCGATGAGAACGATGCGACAAATGCTCGAGACAATGGACCGGATGTTTGAGGACGCAATGACATTCCCAGGCTCAACCCGCAACGGGGCAGGCGAGATCAGAGCTCCATGGGACATAATGGAGGACGAGAAAGAAGTGAAAATGAGATTTGACATGCCTGGGATGTCCAAAGAGGAGGTGAAAGTCTCGGTTTAAGAGGATTGATGCTGCTCAGTCCCTCTGAAATCAAAGCGCGAGAGCGCAAGGCCGAGGAAGGCCGAAGAGCGAAGACCGGCAAGGCATTCATTGGTGGCAGAGGTAGAGCGAGTGTAGCCAATCTACGACAAATGGGATGGTGCTGCCGGATAACTGCGAGAAGGATAAGGTTAAGGCTGAGCTCAAGAATGGGGTGCTGCTGGTGAGTGTGCCCAAGACCAAGGTTGATCGCAAGGTTATTGATGTTGAGATCCAGTGAGAGGATGGAGGGGAGGGTTGGTTTTTGTGCTTGTTGGTTGATGTGCTTGTTTTTGGTCGTATGATACTTTTTATGGGTGCTGTGTTTGTGAACGTTGAGTATTATAGTTTCTGTGTAGGAATGGCACTGATCAGCGCTTCATAATAATGAAAGAAAAATGTTTCTGTTGCTGAGCTTATTTTTGGGCTAATGTTTGCGGACCTGCCTACTTTGAGTTGTTGTGACCTCCGATAATTCAAGAAATTTCGTGTACCCTATGGGGTCGTGAATTTTTTATTTCATTTGAGCCTAGCTATTTCTTTTGAGAAGATTCTCCATTTTTTTGTCCACTGTCTAAACTTTAGCATTTATCACATTATGAGTTTTACTCATTTGCATAGAAGAAGAATAATCGCTACAGTCTGTTCGAAGAAGAATAATCACAAATATTTGCTAAATAGATGATGATTATCCGTTAAATGAATGACAATGATTTCTTCAGTGTTGGGGATTCCTACTTGAATGATATCAGTGATATGATTTAAGGGTTGTTTATTGATACGAGTGAATCTTCTTTGCTTCTGGAACTTAGCAATCTTCATGGGAGCTTGATGATAGAAGATTCTCATGATAGCTTGATAGCTTGAGAATAGCAGCGTGGGCGGAGTCGTCGGTAGCGGCGAAAACGGTCCAAAGAAGGAAAACGACGAAAGTCAAGAAGCTGGCGAACTGGTTGATCGACCAACGAACTAGCGGCGATTGGTCGACCAACGAGCTAGCACCGATTAACCAATGATGATGTTTTAACAAACATTAATTTATGACTAATATTGTTTGTCTAGTGTTTGTGTTTTTTTATTTATTCTGGACAAACAATGTGTCGGAGGTTGGTTGGATTAAGCCTACAGGATCATTTACATTGGAGTATGGAAGGAATACCGCAGTGAACTATGCACAATTCAAGTCAAAAATTTAAGTTCAAGTTTCATCCATGTTTACCAAGATGAGCTTTATTGAAGATCAATCTTGGGTATAATGTTTATACTCTGTGGGTTAATGCTTAAAGCTCCAATATTATACACATACACGTTTTCGGTTTATCGTTTTCAAGTTAAATTATTTTTTATTTGTAAAATAATGTGTTTATGGATTAAAGACTTGTTTATATTATTCTATATCTTTTCTTAAGTCTATTAATTTATTGGAAAGTATTTCAAACTTGTTTGGAATAAATTTCATCAAAATCAAGTTTTGCCAATTTCGTATTCTTGAATAGTTTACAAAATAAATTATATTTTATAAATAGGAAATAAAATTTTAAAAAAAAAAATTGTAACATTTTCTAGTACATGTTTATAATTACTTCCTAAAATTTTATCATTTTTGGAGAAAATTTACTATACTGAATTGATTTTACAAAATCAAGTGTTTTAGCAATTTTTAGAATCTGGAATATCTATTTTAAAATATTTAATTTTCCCAAATGGGAAGTTATATTTCATAAATTCTTTCTCTAACAAGTTCATATACATGTCTAGAACCTTCTCTCTCAAAATTCTATAATTTTTGAAGTTGATTTACTATTTTTAATTGATTTTACAACACCAGATACACAAATTTTCAGAATGCTGGATTTTGGGGTATTTTGGTCTTTTCAGCCTATAACGACTAGTAACGGTTAGTTTTGAGTATTTTCGGTTTTTGAGGGATTTTTAGCATTTTTTTTTTTGTTCTTCTTGGTTTTGGGGTTTCCTATATATACCTCATCATACATCATTCCTCTCAACCATCCAAGAGAGTTTCTAAACAAGTTTTAAAGTGTGGTTTAAGTTTGTTTAAGTGTTTGTTTACAAAATTAGTTTTGTGAAGCTTGTTTCACAAGAAGAGGAGATCAACTTGGGTTTGAGCTTTCAATTTTACATCTCCATCTCTCTTGTCTTAGAGAAGTTTTTCTTAAACTCAATTCTAACTATTCATTATTTTGATTATAATTTTCATAAGCTAGATTTTACATTGAGTTTATATTTAATTTTCTCTTTGTTACACACATCCACTTGAGCTCTTAGTATTTTCATACATAGTATATTTACGGTTGTGAGATTATAACATTGAGTTGGGTTTAATTGAGTTCTCACCTTGTTTAGAGAACAAATCATTTATTGTTGAGCTTTTATTTGTGAGGTCACATTGTATTGCACAAGTACACCAAGAGGAGTGTAGAGGTGAGAGACGTAATCGGTCCCAAGAGGAGTAGTGTCGGTAGTAAAGCCTAGTGAGAGATATTAATTCCGAGCACTTGAGAGAGACACGTGAGAGGACAACACTTGATGAGATATTTGTGTAGTTGCATTGTGAGTTATTATGAACGTTGATCGGTGAGCGTTAAAAACGGATATTGTGTGGTGTAAGCGTTTTTGGGTGAACGTCGAAAGCACATTGTGATAGTGGATTCTCCCCGGGAGTGGGGAGCGAAGACGTAGGTCGGAAGGACCGAACTCCGTGATCGTTTTCTTATGTTTATGTTTGGCATTGACGTATTTATTCTTTCATATTTTCATATCGTTATTATTGCATGTTTATATCGCCCTTGTTTATATTGTTTATCCTTGCATATATACCTTGTTGAATATCATTTTTGCTAGGATATTTGTTAATTAGTTTTAGATTGGCATTAATATCGGATTAGATTAGTATTCACCCTATTCAACCCCCTCTAGGGTACTTTTAACTATGTTGGTCGACCGAAAGACCATCCCCAGTCGACCGAAGCATGCACGCTACAGGTCGAGAATTAAGCGTTCTGGTCGGTCGACCGACACACTTGTCGGTCGACCGAGAGGGACCGACCGGTGGATCGGTGGAGGGAATGTCGATCGCCCGATTGGGTTTCTTGGGCTAATCTGGATTCCTGATATGCATGAATCCTAATTAGGTTTGTCTTGGTTATTTACCACTTTACCACTCACGTTGTTTAATCTATAAATAGGGATCATTTAGGGTTTCTAAATATCAGAGGAGAGATTCTAATCAGGAGATTAGAGTTTAAAGATGATAGAGAAGTTGTTATTTATTCTAGAGAGATTGTGAGAGAGATTTTGTAATCTTTTATTCTTCATAATCTAGATAAGATATTTTCCTTCGACAATTGAATTGTTTAGTATATTTTACTGTCTTCTTCTCAAAATCACCTTTGATAATTTCACGATCAAAGGTGCTCGCACGACAACTCGTATCAAGTTGGTATCAGAGCTATCAGATCTTGTGAAGGGGTATCCTGTGTATGGTCCTTACTCGATCGCAATACAAGAAGCTAGGCGAGATTCTTATTTCTTTGGGAAAAGTCCAAAAATCAAGAAAGAAAAAGATGACAAAAAGTAACAATTCATTGAGGCTTGATGTGATGGAAAAACAGATCGAGACAATCGGTTTGACTCTCATGAAGCTCGTCGATCTCATCCACGGAGGCGAAAAGAAATGTGAATCTTCGGCAGGGCCCAAGACGAAACCTATAGAATCCAATGGAGGTAGTGAGAATTCAGATTCCGACGAGGAGGTCGAGGCCGTTAAGACTGTTCTACAACAATGGGGTAAGGGTTATTACCAGAATTTAAAGATTGATTTCAGAGTTGAAATTCATATTTATGATGGGAGTGTCGACATTGAGAGGCTTGATGATTGGATCAAGCGTATGGAGACCTATTTCACTCTTTATGACTATTTGTCAAAGGAGAAGATTATTTTTGCGACGTTGAAGCTTTCCGAGCACGCGTTGACGTGGTGGAAATCCTACTGCAAACAGGAAAAAAAATCGGTATTGTGGAATAGGTTCAAGGAGCTACTGAGGAAGTAGTTCTACCTTGTAGGATTTTTTGAAGAGCATTGGTACAAGTGGTACGGATTGCGCCAAAGATTCAATAAGACCGTTCAAGAATACACTATAGAGTTCCAGCAACAAGCGATTGTCCTCAACATTGCGACGGATGAGTACTCTATTTTCATGAAGTATATGGTGGGGCTGAACGAATACATCCGGAAGGAGATGAAGCTATTCAAGGTTGAGTCGATTGCGGAGGCGAGCGTGAAGACTATTGTCATTGAAGGTAAGCAGAAGAAGAACAACGAAACGAAGAGAGATGCCAAGCAAGCTGGAGGCAAGTCTAGTGGCTCCCAACTTAAGGAGGAAAAGAAGAAGGATGATCCAGGAAAAGCAGGATTGACTTGTAATCACTACAAGTAAACAGAGCACGTTGCTGATCAGTACTGGGAGAAGTATCTTCATCTCAAGCCGAAGGGGTTGAAGAAGAAGGAGGAGAAAAAGATATACGTGATAGCATAAGATCCGAGAAAAGTCCCAAGGATGATAGAGCCCAATAGTAGTCTTAACCTTATGGCAGAGAAACAGGTCGCAAAGGAGGATGAAGACCCCAGAGAGCAGCTCTTTGTTCTTAAGTTGTAAGTGAAGACCAGTTTGGTAGATACCATAGTTGATCCAGGCAGCGAGAAGAATTTAATATCCGAGGCCTGTAGGCTGTCTAAAAAACACAACAAATAGCTGATATCTATCAAATTTCAATCAACATCTCAACAATGAAAGTTACAATCAGAAAACTTTTACGTCAATAAAACGAAAGTTGCAATTGAAGGATTTTCACGTAGATCGAGAAATGTTATAATTCAACAACCTTCACGACGACTGATGAAAGCTCTGATTCAATAGCCTTCACAATCAACCGTGAGAGTTACAATCTGATGACTCTCACATCCCAAATAGCT